AGGAAATTGAACAAGTCAGGCAATTGTTTCATTAAAATGTTCCATCCCTGATAAAAGACTCCAAACGTCACCAAATAACATAACTTGATCCACAAGTAAATCAATTTGCCCAGATCTAGTACCCAATTCAGCAATTATAAATTACCAAACTCCTTTACACCAAAACCCTAAAATTCAAGTCAAATAAATGCAGCAACTCTCTAACCTATTAGATGCATGGAAATAAGACTTATATTAACTCTAAACATGACCATGTAAAGTGCTAAATATGCTTCAAGATTAATTCCAAAATGCCCTTTGTCTTCCTTCCATGCCTTGCATCAGGTATATAGCTTGAAAAATCAATTTTATTATGCATGAAAAATTTGAAAATTAAAAGGATCTCATGTAAGAACAAAGGAGGAGTTTGGTGAATGTTATACTATTTCAATCTTGCTGATCTATTGAAAATTAAAAGGATCTCATGTAAGAACAAAGGGAGGAGTTTGGTGAATGTTGTACTATTTCAATCTTGCTGATCTATTAGTGATTGAGTAGAGAAGTCATGCATGTCTAATGATGTGCATCACATAAGATCCTTTGTGTAGCATTCATGAATTTGGATTTCCTTGGAAATAGTATGGAAAATTTGAATATTTTTTACCAGGTTTAGTTCATTAAGAGAAGTTATTCACTGGGCTATTCTGTTGAAAGACTTATTCCTTAGTAGAGGTTATCCACTGCGCTGAACTCAACACAACTAAACTGTTTATCAACTAGGAGGTCTGTTACATTAATATTATGTCTATAACTGGTCTGTTTGAAGTCATGGTTTCATTTAAATAACTATGAATCATATTACCATCAATCTAGATTTTTTTTCTAGCTAAAGCAATTATAGGTCTTACTTGCATATGCCCAAACCAACTTAACCTATTTTCTCTCATTCTATCCTCAATAGGTGCTACCTTAATTATCTCACTAATTCATTCATTTCTAAAACTTTCCATCCTAAATTTCCTCTATCTCTATCTTGAAATCCACTGTGTTGTTTTCACTGAAATGCAAGCACGGTCGGTGGTAGTAGTGAGGAATTATGGTAATTGGTGTCTTTTCTCAGTGATTCTATGAGAGAAGTGGTTAAGAGTATTGGAAGGACTTAGTTTATGGAGTATAAAACTCTGTCCTGCTTGCTTTCAACCAAAATCTTTACCAAGCTAGAGAACTGTTGAGTATTTATTTATGCCTTTATTTAGTAGTGTTGTAGTGGAGATGTGTTAGTCCAAAAATTGGTGGTTAACATAATTTTGGTGGGCTACAGCTATTAAACTATTAGTATAAAAATAATTTCATCTAATGCTCCTTTTCAGTTGACTGCAAAACTTCAGCAAACATGCCCATGCAATCAACTGCTTCCGAATATCGAGGTTGCTTTGAGCTAGGATTTGGTCAACCTGTGGTAAGTTATTTTTCCCTTGTTTAATAAAGTTCTCTTTCTAGTAAAGAATCTGAATGTCTATTGTTTCTTAATCCATAAACTGATGCAGATCTGCGCAAAGTATCCTAATGGAGATCAATGCTATGGAGTATTCTCAACTTATGGACAGATTGCAGGTTTGTATTCCTTTTCTTCCTCTTATCTTCCTAATTAATTCCAACTTTTTTTTAACACCTATTTGTCTGTATAAAATAAGCTACTCCCAACCTTCTATGAATCTTTGTACTTGCTTGTAACCAATGCTGTCCTATTAAACAAAAAAGCAAACATAGAAATTATTTTACCTTGCTTTCTTTTTCTTTCTTGTGATTCTAGCTTATTATACAGATTGGATATATTATCAAGGCCATAGTGTTCGAAAATTAAAGTCTATAAAGAAGAGTAATCAAAATTTGATCAAGGGTGTTGTGTATTTCCGTTTAAATTAACATGAAGGTGCACAATGAGACAAGAAGCAGCATAGTTACACCAACACTGAATATTTCTTCAAGTGTTAAATTATCTTGGAGAGGCAACCACAACATGGTCAGGACTGGCCGGGATACCTTTATAATCTGTTGACACAGTGTCATCCCCACATCCAAAAGCATAAATCTTGAAAAATGTACAAGGACTGATAATTTTGACATGTTTCTTTAGTATCCAAAAGATTCAATCCTCTATACTCTTGACTCGGATAGTTAGATGTTGGTACCTTTTGATCCTTGTGAGTTACATTGGTTTTTTTTCAAGCATGTGAAGTCCTAACTTTGTTGAGGCGGGTTTAGTATTTTTATCCATATTGTCTCACCCTTGTAGTCATATTGACTAATCGAATGCAATTATAAATATCCATGCATATACATTGCCTGCACTTGAATATGGATGTTGTTAAGAAACGATATGGCATGTTCAACCGTGGAACTCTAGTTGTATGTTGCATTTATGTTTGACACTTTTCTGTGTAATAGTATTTGTGTCTCTGTTTAACCCCATCAGTGCTTGAGATTACACAAACTCAATAGACCTATGTGTGTTTTTTTCTGCCCTTAAGACACTTGTTTTTGGGCATACATGCATTGCTAATGTAAAGATTCATGTGACCAGGTCATATAACATGTAACTGATGTCAATTTTTGTAATGAAAACTGAAAATCAAAATAAACTTCAGCAAAATTAATGAAATAATAGTTATAGCTTGATGGCTACTTCATGTTCAATGATGTTTAATTCATAGATGGACTAGACTTCTCATCTTGTGTATTAACTTTGTTTGGTATTGTGGCTATGTCTTTATGTGTCCTTTTTTTTTTTTTTTTTTTTTTTTTTTTTGGTTTTATTTTATTTGTTTGTGAGAGGCATCTCTTGGAGTGGCATTATCTTGTTGCATGTCTTATGTCAAACTCTATGTCTGTGTTCATGCTTCTTAATACAATAAAGGAGAACAGCGTGTTGTGCTTGACAATTGCCCAAATTCTCCAAGTAGTCATCCTCGTTAAACGGAATCTTCCTATAAATTCTAGAACTGTTAGATGTGTATAGCTATTTTCAACTTGTCCATGAAATATTAGAGTCTATCAGAACTTTTAACATTTCTCTTCATACTGTCCAGGATTTTCTTACACTTAAAATGCAGTGGGTGTCTATGTGTATAAATCCCGACTTCTCTGCAAGTTCCTAGATAGCAAGTAGATTAGCAATATTGTTGATTGAATAAGGTAAAACAGTATGAAAATACGACTTAGTTTTATTTCAGTAAAAAAGAATTAGCAATAGAAGTTTAAGTTTTATTTCAATTAAAAAGAATTAGCAATAGAAGTTTTAAGTTTTATTTCAATAAAAATATAGCAATAGAAGTTTTCTTTATTGATCTTCAATACCAAATTAAAATAAAATCTTCTAAGCTTTCTCTAAATTTCTTTGACCTTTTAGTCTGTTTAATTATAAAATACTTTGGCAAAATACTAAAATTCTGGGGAGAAAAAAAAGGCCAATGAAGCAGCTGCATAGGAATGAAACTCCAACAATCAGAATGGAAATTCACATAGAAAAGAAATGCATGAACCATCGATTGTTCAAAGGAAACCAAAGGACTTCATTTTATAAGAATGTGTAGTAGAGAGCTTTCTGAAACTTTGTCAGGATATAATCAATCTTTGTGATAACAAAACTAAGACTAAGCACTATTAAATCCACATTTTTTACTTCTGCTCCATGTGAGATTTAGGTTTGCCACAAAACCTCTCTTTGTTGTGGATTTGCAAGTCCTTTTAAAAGGACCCTAAGTTCGAACTTAAATTGATTGTTTTGCTGATTTTTCAAACAAACCATTGCATGGCCACTAGAGAAGATTGACTTTTCTAGTGTCCAGTCCCCTTAAAAAATTCCATAATTGGGACATGTAACATGACAAGGTGACAAAAGGCAGTAGAATTAGAGAAAAGTAGCTACTAATGTGGGTAATGCTAAAAGAGGAACTGAAGAAGTGGAAGTGTAACGACCCAAGACTACTGGCCCTAGCAACTTGTTGAGCCTAAAACTGGCCCAAAATGCTTAAAAAGTTGTTCAGTAGTAGTCTCTAGTCTCTAATAAGCCCATAAACATGTGGGATTTGCCTAAGGTGTCACACACACTCAGGTGTCACATAACTCAGCATGCTAAGGTTTGACCATCATTCAAGTTGCACGCGGAGTGGCTCTGATACCATTTGTAACGACCCGAGACTACTGCCCTAGCAAGTTGAGCTTGAACCACTGGCCCAAAATGCTTAAGCCCAAGTTGTTTAGTAGTAGTCTCTAGTCTCTAATAAGATCTCTCTGTGTTTTGTCGATGTGGATTTGCCTAAGAGTGTCACACACACTCCACTTTGGGTGTCACAGGAAGAGTTTTACTTAAAAAAATGGAAAAAGAAAGAAAGAAAAAAAACAACAGATTGTTTTAAGCAGGGAAATTTGGTTTGAACCCCCATGAAAGTTTGTCCAGACCATTTGAAGTGGCTGCATTAGTCCTATTTTGTCATTACCAATCTGGATTGGAGCTGGCTGACTGAAGTCAAAGACTAATGAAAAAATAGAATTTGGGAAATATCTAGAATATCAAACTTCTGTTGTTATTTTCATGATTTATGCTGTTATAAGGCCAGAGATTTCCTTCTCTTCATGCTTCTCTCTTATTTGATGATGTCTGGCCTATACTCCTTTTATTTTCTTTTGCTTTTTCTCTTTTCTGTTTTTTTTTTTTTTTTTTTGGGGGGGGGGGGGGGGGTTTAGTAATTTGGCCTTATGTACTAACTTGCCTCCATATATTGACCTGCCAGGGACGAATTATGCTGCCACTTAATCTGACCACGGATGATGGACCTACATATGTTAATGCTAAGCAGTATCATGGAATAATCAGGCGCCGGCTCTCACGTATTAAGGCAGAATCAGAGAATAAATTTCCAAAAAACTAGGAAGGTACAATTTGTTTGTTTATCTTTTAAGAAATCTATAAATTCTGACAAATGTGGTAATTGATCAAGGTTTGTATCATGTACCTATTAATGCGTATGACTTTTGCATGCAATTAAGAGTTACTGTTGAAGTCAAAAGATGATACAAGCTTGATATCTGTATAAGACACATCATGGGGGTGTTCTACAACTTGTATGTTTCAGACTCTTTTTTCACAAGTGAATTCTGTTAAGAAGGTGGGAATCAAATCTTTGTATGATATTTGGTGCAAATCCAAAGGAATAAATACAGATGCACAAATTTAGACTCGAGAGAAAAGTGAGGATTACTGTTATGGGGATGGTGGGATCTGTATTATTTAAATTAATTGTGAGAAAAATACTAGGGATATGACTTGTTACTTTCAAAACTTCTTTGAGACTTCTGAAAGTGATGCTAAAAAAATTGAGTCCTAGCAATGTCTCTATGAATTCTTTTGGTTTCTGTTTACAGCCATATTTGCACTTGTCACGCCATCTCCATGCAATGCGCCGACCAAGGGCTGTGGTGGTCGCTTTCTGAACACAAAGATTTCTGGTGGTGGTAAGGGTGAGACTGAGGACCCGACTGCTAAAGGCCAACCCATTCAGCCCACTGAGTCTCAGAACTCTGAAGTTCTGCAATCTGATAGTGGAAATTTGAAATCACCAAAGGAGTGAATGGCACAAGGTCAAACCTTACAGGGTCGGAGGTGAGCAGCTTATTTTCCAGGGGAGATGCCAATCACCTTGTGTTCAATCATCTCCATTCATCTGTGCGCTCTATCTCTGATGTCATGAATGCTGGACATGGCATGGCACATGCCATGCCCAGTAAATGGATTGCAGCAGCTGATGGCTGCTGCAACCTCAAAGTTTGAGAACATGAGTGGGAGCGGGCTTTGCTGCCAAGTTGTCTCACTTGGCACTGACCCCCCCATTCTTGCTGCAACCAACAATGTGTTTGGTTGCTAGGCAATTCATTCTTGGCTTATCTGTGTTAAGGTTGTCTCTGCTGTTCCAGCAAGAGACATAGCACCTTAACGTGTGTACAAAGTTGACATGCTGGTAAACGGGTTTGTTCCCATCTATCTGAATAAATCCGTCAAAGTATGGGTTAGGTGTTTGTGATATTGGGTTGGTTGTTGATGTTAGGATTCAGATCTGGACTTGGAACTTTGTGAAGTTATGTATTATGTGACATCTGACTTAAGTTGTGATATCTTCTACTTAATTACGTAAACCTGATGTTCTTGTATCCTTAAAATTTCGCATGGGATGCATTTAAGCTCTGTTGGTTGAAGGTAATTGGAATAGGAATACTCTAGGGGTAAATGTTTGGTGAATATAGCAAGTTCAGTGCTGTGTAATATATTTCTGTATCTAACCTGTTATTCCTTTTGGGGATCTTGGAGTCCTTGGTGCATGCATGTCTGTAAGAACTCCACAACGGCTTTCTAACATTTCATTCTTATAGGCTATAGGTGCCCACCTTTATAGCATCATATTCCTTTGGGTGCTTGTGAAGCTGTGTAAGACCTAGAAGGTTGGTTAGAATCTCGACTAGAGCCTACCCGAGCGAACCCAAACCATACCACCATGAAACACTGCCTAAAGCCTGCATTGTTGAATTGTGGGTGATGAATTTTGCATGCAGAAAATCAAAATTCATAAATTGATAGCATAAATCAAAATGAGAAAGTAAAACTTGCAGTGCTGAATGCAGTGTCACGTCACTTAAAAGTAGATTACAAACTTGAAATGAAGAGATTTTATGCACATCTAAGCCAATATTGAAATCAACTCTGCAGGAACAAAGTTGTTGCCGTTTTTCATAGCCAATCATGCTATTCTGAAATTATATAAACACATGTAATTCATTCAATTTCTCTAATTGTTTAAACTTATTCAAACTTTAAAACTAACCCCCACACTCTAATTTCGTACTTGTGTAAGCCACTCAAAGTTTGGAAACATATTTCCTTTATATAAACATTTTAATGCCTTGAATTTGTGTTCTTTTTTTGTATAGATTCATTATTTACATTTTGTAGATTCATTGTTATATTTATATAATGTATATATATGTATTGTACATTTCTTTCACCTGAATATAAATTTCTATACATTCATTTAATTCATGTATACGAGTGCATCATTCATTATTCCAAGGGAATGAACCAGCCAAGAACCATCTATCCAAATTTAAGTACCATGCACCATTCATTTCCGCAAATGAATGAACCAGCCAAAATCAATAAACCGTCATGTATTTAATCTCTCTCATGAACCTATTGGCCATATTTTATACATGATGGTGCTTGGAAGAATCATAATTGTCCAAAAGGGGGTAATGTGTCATACTTATATGTTAAATCATCCACTTAACTACCTCTAATAAATGTTACTTTACTCTAATTAAAAACTAGTTGTTTAATAAATTAAATTGAGATGAGCTGAATTGAGCTAATGCCTAGTTATCTTGAGTTGACTTAGTTATCATGATCTGCATTTAGCTTATTTAAATTATTTATTAAGCTATTTAGAGCTTATTTCTAACTCAACATTATCATTCATTATTTGATCAAGTTAATCTATTGCGCATTTAATATATTTAAGCACTTATGCTTTAATATATTCAACTGGCATGAGGATACTGAATCTATGTATTACCTTTATGGGAGGAGAGTGAAAATTTAGGGTTTATGACACATGTTAATATGACATGAATATAATTTGAGTTTATTAGGAAAAATATGAATACAATGAGATATGAGAGGACAAAAACATATTTGACACAAGTTTTTACATGATTAATTTTATTGTTATTATAAATGGATTTTTAATAATTTTTCTGATAGTTTGTTTGGTATTTTAATAGCACAACAAAAATTAACCCTTCATGAGTAAAACTGAAGGAGTTTTCACCTTCTTTGATTCACAAGGCTAAGTGAAAGCAGTCTACTACTCTCTCTAAGAGGAAAAAATGAAATCCATGCATCAAGTGGATTCACTGGTTCAGACATGTTCTACATTCAATCGGCCAAATGGATATGGGTCAAAATTGAGATCTTTTATTTTTTTTAATAGAATTAATAAATTTTTATTAAAAATTTATTTTTCTAATTTTTTGACATACAAAATTAGTAATCGAATTCTTATACTCAATTTAATTTAATAGGAGAAATTTGTCAAAGTGATTAAATTAAAACTAAAATCCTTAATTTTACAGAGAAATGAAATATATCAAATGAAACATATAGAAGAGAAGTCTTAAGAGATGAATGTTTAAAAACATTTAATGAAACGATAGAATATTAGTGAGAAAAAATAAGAGTTTTAAGATAAATGAATATTAAAATTAAAAAATAATTGATTTGAAAATATAAAATTTTAATTATGAGATAAATAAGAAACAAAAATTAAGAGTTATGGAGAAGTGATTAGGTAATGGTTAACTAAATAATTTGAATAATATTAATCATTATTATTTTTTAAAAAACATTTTATAATTATTTACATTTTATTATTATAATAAAATGTTATAAAACTTTAAAATTTAGTGTCTAAAATATTTGAAAACCTAAAACAAGTTTTTTATCTGTTTATGGTAAAGCCGGCCCCGTCAGGTGCCATTAAAATGATCTACACCATGTCATGGATCCACAGCCACCGGTAGCGATGAACTCTGCTAATCAACCCAAACGACAAGGTTTTTGACGAGGATGTCATTGCCCTTGCTGGAGACTCCCTCGTTGCCTTCACCTATAAGCAGGTCACCACCATGACAACCAGGTGTCATAGTCCGCGAGTCTTAAGTTGCATTTGGCAAGTTATTCAACTCGTGGATTTGGCCTTAGCCGGAGTTTAGAGATTGGGTTGGGCTGTCCATATCAAAAATCGAGGTTTAACTAGTAAAAACTACGTGGTTCAATAGTTTTGAAGTTCAAAATAAGATGCACTTAACATTGAGTAGTTTGTGATATTTTGTGGTGGAATAAAATTCATGAAAAATTAGAAGAAGTCAGTGACTTATTAGTATGGTCCATCTCTTTCTAAATATATTAGATTATTAAATGGCTATTATATATGGCTCATATAACTCATATATGAAAGTATTAATTGTTTGAGAAATAGGGATAAATGACACTTTCACCTATATGAATATTGAAGTAGTGCCACTTCAAGCGAGGGCCTTAGGTTTACTCTTGTAAATATTCATGGAAGAATTAGCACAGCCTTTTAAGTGCTAGAGCTGAATTGATATATTAGATGAAATAATATCATACGTGGTATTTCGTTTTAGATGCAATAGAGTTATGGTTCAATTATTATAATACAATAACTTAGTCTAAATCTTAATATTTACACTATTAGAAAGTTCAATCTACGTCATACTTTCTATTATGTGCAGTATGAGTAATACAAAACTAGTGAGGATTATTGAGTAGTTTGTGATACTTTATGATGGGAATACAATCGCACGTTGAAAAATTATAAGAAATCAATTTATTAATATGGCCTATCTCTTTTCAAATGTATTAAATTATTAATTAAAAATTGTATGTGGCCTATATAATCCATATAATATTATATTACATTAAGGATTTGGGCTTGGAACATGGCTTGGCTTAAATTAAAAAGGTTAATACTCTTTAAATTATTTTATTTTATTTTTTGAATTAATATAAAAAATGTCATATTATTTTTAAAATAATTTGACCATTTGTTAACCACCCAACTATTGAAGTGGCTTTTTGGATTTATAAGTATACAATTCGTACAAGGCTGTTGTATCCCAAAAAATTTTTGTTTTCTTCTTTTCCCAAGATCAGACAATTAATCTTTTGAGACAGTAATCATGCCTCAAGCTTTCTATTTATACATTTCTAATACTTAAAGTTTTAAGATAGGCACAAAAGTTAATTAGAAAATACACTCCTTCCTCCGTAATTATTTTAAAATGACATTTACCTTATTTTTATTTTAAAAAAAATTATCAAATAAACCAATGAAAATATGATTTTGTTTAAGGTAAAAATAACTCAACTTTCATACTTTATTTGTCTAGGTTGTTCACCTGTTAAAAATTAAAGTATTATATAATTAATTAAATAATATAATTTTAAAAACTTTTTATTTTAGTTTTTAAAATTAAAAATTGAAGAAAATTCAAAAAATTCAACTTTTGATAATACAATTTTTCTATTTTTAAAATTTGAAAATTTTTATTTTATAATTTTTTAAAATGTGTTAGATGTTTAAATGTCTTTAATGATGATTAAGTGACAACTTCTTTTTACATAAAAAAAAAAAAAAACAAGATCCCACTTTTGTATTGTATTTTTAACATTAAAATTTGATTTTATTTTTCTTGTTTTAAAGAAAAAGAGAAACATTAATGACAAGTTGAGATATGATTTTTGCATATAAATGGTCTTACTCCTTCTTTATTCCTAAAACAAATTCCTTTCCCAAACTTTCTTTCTATTTCCCTCTTCTTTCCTTTCTCTTTCGGCACCTTTTGTTTAGTTTCTTTTAGTCTCACTAAGTACACATGCCCAAAGGATTTTTGATTTTAAAAGAAGAAAATCTTTGTTAAGAAATCTGATAGAACATTTTGAACAAAAGAATGTGGATTACAAGTATCATTGAGATGCCTAAAACTTTTTTTTTTTTTTGAGTGTAAATTATTTTTTTTTTGTTTATAAAATATTAATAACAAGGAATCAAATTAAATATTTTCACACAGTATAATGACCAAAATATCCTTCATTTGTTCAGAGGGACCGAGGGCAGCTTTAAACCTCCTTATCCGTTTATCTGTGTTTGAATCATCCCTTTCTTTTGTTCTCTTCCCTTCCCCTCTCTCTCTTTCCCCTTGAGTGTCTCCATGGCTGCCACTGCTCTTGCTGGTGCTACTTCCTCATCTTCACTTTCTTTCTGCAACAAAGTCCCCCACCTTCTCTCTGATTACTGCTCTCCCGCTTCAATCCCCATCACTGCCTACTTGACTTCCAAAATAAAACCCATAAAATCCCTTAAGCTCAGATCGCACTATCTGCATACCCCTCAGCTATTTCTCCACTTTGGCTACTCAGTTCGAGCTTCATCCGCGTTCGACAGTGTTGACGTAGCCGCCACCGAAGATGAAGAACCTCCAGAATCTTCTTCAGAGACAGAACAAGGAGAAGAGGATGAAGAAGACGGGCAAACTGCGACAGAATCAGCTGAAGCTGGTAGGTTATACGTGGGAAATTTGCCGTATGCTATGACTTCTTCCGAATTAAGAGAAATCTTTGCTCAAGCCGGTAGCGTCGCCTCTGTGGAGGTTTGTTTTTTGAGCTTTTCTTGCGTTATGTTCTTACTTGGTTTTTGTGTGTCGCTGTCGGTATAGAATCCTTATTTTTTTTATTTTAAATTTGACTTAAATTTTTGAGTTTATTCCAGATTGTTTATGATCGAGTCACTGATAGGAGTCGAGGATTTGCTTTTGTAACGATGGGTAGTGTTGAAGAAGCCCAAGAGGCAATTCGAATGTTCGATGAATCTGTAAGTTTCCTTGCTCTGTTTAACTTAGTTATTTATAATGCACTTTACGTATATGGATATATATGTGTCTACACGTGTTTGTGTATGTTTATTCTTATTCGAGTGTACTTGCAATTGACACTAAAAACAACAGGAAAAAAAAAGTACGGAGGGAAAAGAAAAATTTTGATTTCTCTCCTTGTTGTTTGAATAATTAGAAAGAAATGGACAGAATGCCGGTAGTCATTTAATTTTTGTATCTTTACCTTTGGTTTGGTAATTTGGTATTACAGAACTTCAAGTAAAAGGGTAACGTTCTCTTCTCTCCAAATTTCTCTAATTCTGGAAAGTTTCGAATTAAGCATTATAAGGGATTTGGAGTCCTCTCCATTTCTCCTCATCTCTCTTCTGAAACTCAATCCAAATGAGTGATTTGAGAGGAAAAAGTTCTCTTTCTTTTCTCTCCTAATCACCCAATCCAAACAAGCTTTTACAAAATGCCTACCTGTTGTTTGCTGAAAAGCCTGAAATTACCATACCTGCCTCTTGAGAAGATAGTTGTAAAGTCGGTCAAAGATGACACAGTAAAGAAAGTAAATAAACGGGGAGTTCTATATGAGAGCCAAGTTATACAGGGTGAACCCTGTTGTGCATATATCAAGAGCTCAAAGTGCCTGTAACCCCTCATGTTGTATTGCCAGAAGGAGTAAATAAGGAACCGTAAATCTATTGGTTAGTTTTATATACCTAGTCTCTTAAATGTAACAGTCAATTGCAGCATGGTGGTTTGCTAAGTCTTCTTACTTCCCACGTGCTGTCAAACAATATCAAATTTCAGTAATATAAACTAAAAGGTGGGGAAAAGGCATGGCCAAGGAAAGCTGTGAACTTAAATCAATTTGTAATATAATTGTATTCAGCTGATGGAAACTACCCGGAAGTTTTCTTGATGGAGAATTTATAATGGGCAAGCTGTATGATTTTCTTCATTTTCAATGGAGCTTGCTTGAAAAGGATTAAAAAATTTCCCTGGGTGTAAGTGTGTGAAAAGATAATTATGGTCGTTATCCTTTATATTTTCTCTAGTTTCAGTTGGTTGCAGCAATTTTTGGTTGATACTAGTCTCTAATTGCTAAGGGCACATTTATTAACACTCACATTAACTGTTATCTTTTTTATAATTTCAGAATTTGTGTAAATTGAGAACAGAAAGCATATTGGGTAATTTATCGAAGATATTTGCATTACCATACTGTTTTCTGAATTGCCATTATGTTGCAAAAATTTGGCAAATTTTTGCCGAAGTTTATATTGAGTTTCATGCTAGCCTTCTGCATCCTAGAAGTATTGATCTCTTCAGCAGATATTTACATTACCATACTGGGTATGGTTGCAACAGGTGGCATTATTCTGCATAATACCTATAAAAAGAACAACTGGCCTTTCTTGGGCTGCAAATCTCCCTTTTCTTTCAGGACAAACTCTAACATTCTGGTTGACTTTTGTTCAAAAATGGATTATTTTTCAAAGAGTTCCACACTAGAATGATGTTTGGTTGGAGAATTGGATGCAGAGGATTTTTTTATTTTAGTGTCAATTTTTGTGAGAATTCTGAAAGCATGTATGACAACTTCAATCTCTTGAATGGATTTAAATCCTTGCGATTAACTGAATTTATTTCATTTTGTAATTATTTATGATGGTGGTAATGGTAACAGCAAGTTGGAGGCCGTACAGTGAAGGTAAACTTCCCTGAAGTGCCAAGGGGAGGTGAACGAGAAGTAATGGGACGGAGAATAAGGAGCAGCTACCAGAGCTTTGTAGACAGCCCTCACAAAATCTATGCAGGAAATCTAAGCTGGGGTCTCACTTCCCAGGGCTTAGGGAAGCTTTCGGGGACCAGCCTGGTCTGTTAAGTGCCAAGGTCATCTACGACAGGGACTCTGGACGATCTCGAGGTTTTGGGTTTGTCACTTTTTCATCTGCTGGGGAGGTGGAATCGGCCCTCAGTGCAATGAATGGAATGGTAAGACTGACTTGAGAAGGTGTGGCCTGTTTGGACTTGTTTCTGAAAAATCAGTTTCATTTTTTTGGAAATAGAAAATTTCCTAAACTGCTTTGTTAGAAATTTCAGAAAATATACCAATGTTAGATATTTGCGGAATTCTCAGAAACTATTTTTTCCCAAAAATGGAAATGTTACAAGAACAATATAATTCCCAAGATTTTTACTGTTTTCTGCGCCAGAAAATACACTAAATGAAAACGGAGCAGAAGCAAAAAAAATATAATATAATTCCGACCAGACAAGCTAGCATATTTGGGGATTGGTATTGATTTTTCTGCTGATATATTTTTCTTTATTTATAAATGTGTGAGTAGGAGGTGGAAGGGCGACCTTTGCGATTAAACATGGCCGAACAAAGAGCTCCGACAACTCCACCAACACAAGCAGGGGATTCAGAAAACAGTTTTGACAGCACAGAAATGCTCTCTACTATTATTAATTAACTAGGGAGAGTGTGAATTAGGTATATGAGACTTCAGATTGATTGGTAGTAGGAAGTTTGTAAAGATCCCATCTACTACTTATTTGCTACACATCATTGAACTTGTTCGTTACTGGAGACTCCAGCTATCCCGTTTTCCTTTGTTCGTCTGACAGAGTGAAATTGGACCATGGAGATTGGACAATGAGAAATATTTAACCGGGGGATATTATCAATGCCATTGGAAAGTTTGAGATGTAAGAATCCTGGACCCGGACTTATAGAGGGGTTGGGATGTAATTGCATTTTGCAAAATGCTTTGTTGAAATGCTACATCAATTACTAAAATGTTAGAAACGTGTAGGATCAGGATTCTCTGTTGGCGCTACAAATCATACCCAGTTTAGTTTGCACATGGATGTTGAGGATTCTTTGTTGCCCTGCGAAGTATAATTCATAAAGAAGGTATGTCTCTAAGCCACAAGGCTCCTCGGAGTGCAAAGCTAGGGCGAGGTCACAAATTTTCACTTTTAGTGCACTAGTGGTCTAAGCCTAGGGAAGACGGGCGAGCGTTTTGAATTGGCAAAAAATTTAAAATAAAATAAAAAATAAAACACACACAAAGGTTCCATTTGTTTACGTGTGTGTGTGTGTGTGTGTGTGTGTGTGTGTGTATTAGACTTTACAAAACAAGGAAACCTTGTGGGCAATGTCCCATAGAGAAAGTCTAGGTGAAGAAGCCTCTGCAAACGCTTGACTTTTTAGGCATCTCTATTTTCAATTGGCAACGAGCGTGCATACTTCACAATTGATCAAGGACTTGTGCCGTTTGGTGGGAGACAGTAGCTCTAGACTTTGGTGACATCGGGAACAAATCATGGAATTAGTGGCTTCTACATCAGGTGGAATAGAATGAAATATAGTTCTACCCGATCAGGGAAGTTTGGAGAGAGCTGAATCACCTAGAGGTTACATCCTAACAAATTTGTAGAAGAGAAATCAAATTCAGACAGGTTTTTCCGCATATTTTGGATTGTAAAACAGCATCACACATGACCCCTCAGAGAGAGAGAGAGAGAGAGAGAGAGCTTCCCAGTGAAATAAGCACTTACCAGTATCAATCACAATTACAACAAATCCATTATGCATTAATGTCCTCAAAATCTCGTCAGAATTTCAATTCAGGAAATTGGAATAAGTTTCATAAGCAAGCCTAAGTACAGGTAACTGTAGTAACAGTTACACCCAAAAAGGGAAAAAAAGGCCATATATCGACTCCAGAACAAATAAAAATGTAGCTTAGCTCCTCAATAGAGAAGAAAATGAAATTATAAGCTCGCAAATGAGTTCTTCAGCAATGCGACCCATAGCTTTCAATTGGTACCACGACCATTGTCAAGAAGGGCATCTGCTGCAGAATCCAAGTCTTGAGGAAAGAAAATTCTGCATATGGATTCATCATCATTCCCAAATCAAATAAATAAACAACAATAACGACAACAATAATAATTCATCCAGAAAAACTGAGCCTCCATGGAAGAAATGAAGGATACCTCAGTCCTTTCTATCAAATTAACTTTTTCACATTCTTATTTTTCTTTTCAAAATATATTCAGTGGTGTAGGAATTATAAATCACTCACATAAAAGTAGCAAAAGCAAGCAGTAAGAAGTTCCAACACCTATGGAGTACTTCCCATTAATGAAAATTCATTAGATGAATGCACAAGAACTTCAAACAATGCAATGCAACTACCTGCAGGTGTTATGATAAATGCCCTTGCTCAATTGATCAATGTCGGCTATACCTTTAACACCAGCAACCACCTCAAGCACTTGCCTGGAGATAATAAATTAGAAAATCAGTAGTGGTGGCAAGCAAAGTCCAGAACATAAGCCAACTTTCTAATCCCAATGCCATAAATTCATCTAGGATGAAATATAAAAAATGCAAGGCTTGCCAGATTCTGATATTAAAATTGGATAGCAATGGAATTGGACCAGATGAAACTTTTTATTTTTATTTCGCTTTTTTGGACTCACAAGAATTTGTCAATATTTCCAATCAAATCTTCCTTGTTCCCAGATGTTCCATAGGAATAATTTTTTTCTGTCACAAGACTAGAAAAAGCAAAGGTTGTTACAGGTTTATAACATGTTAAACTTTGATCATATCTTATAATATGGATATTAAAAATTCTTTCAGATTAAGTATTCCATATATAATGAATGCAAATCATATAACTTCATCTTATGGATATAGACCCTAAGAATTCTTTCATTGTAACCTTCCCTACACACAACATGCTTCATAAAATGAACAAGTTAGGTTGGATTTATTGAAGTTGGAAAACACATAAGGTGAATTCTATACTAGAATAGCAAAGTCGGGATTTACAAGGAATCTTTGAACTTTACTAAATTTGCCATTTTCCAACTATATGACATGAATATTTACTTTCCTCCAATAGCAATTATAACAGCAACATATCACAATGAATTATATATTTCTCTCACATCTCAACCTCAGGTTGACCTTTGCCATCACCTAGAGATACCCTGAAGCTTATAATGTCTCTCTTCCTAACTAGAGCATTTAATGGGCCCCATTTGTACAAACTATCTCACCTATTTTCTCCGTGTTATCCTTGCTTGGTACCTTTAACCCCATCTCTTTTTATTTGACTACATATATGATAAATCCATCTTAAAATCCTCATATAAAGTAGAGATTTTAGGTATAACTTCATGACCTAATAGTCAAATATTGCAAATATATAACAAGTGCTTAGTTTATATAATATAATAAACAAAAGTTCAAAATGCATAACATATGCAAATATAAGATGATGTAGATGAGAAATTCGAAAATGGAAACAAAATACCCACTGACAAAGCTCATTCAACATTTAAAAGGAAATGTTTTCTGAAAAATAAGAAATCCAATATTGTGCTTCCAAATGAAGACACCACCACTCACCGAACTAAACAAGGTTCATTGCGACCTTAACAATGCACTCCTGATCATACTTCTCTTTCTTCTTAGAAGGCCACGAGGATTTAACAAAACCAATCCAGCATGAGTGTTCTTAATTTCACAATATGGAGAATCTGTCTCAATCATCATTCTCTCAACAGGTATGCTCTTCACAACTTCAAGATTTTCAGCAGTCTTCAGTGAGCAGCCATTCACGCCTATGTATCACCAAAAATCTAACATAAAAAACATGGAAAAGAAAAGGATCTAGGACTCAGGAAATTTCTAGGTGTGAATTTAAAGACAATAATGGCAAACAGGTCAAAATTGAAGTTGACAAGAAGGTTTTCCAATCACCTATGAAAAGATCCTTGAATGAGAGAAGCTTGTCTATATCTTCTGCACTACCAGTGAAGGAATGGGCAACACCAGCAGTGAACCTGTCATGCAAAATGCAACTAAACTTACTGCCATCAGATTGGCACAAGTTCAACATGCAAACAGCAGCATGAAAAATTCTGAAATTTATTATTGAGCTTTCCTTCATAAATCAATTCAACAGAAAAATAACAAAGAAAATTAAGTCTACCATTTTTGCATCAATTCTTCCCCCGTACCACCTCAAACAGTGTAGCAGTAGCAGAAGCAATACATAACAAGATTCAATTCATGAGCACAAACAATTTGATGAAAAATAAAGAGAGAGAACAATAACAGATGACACAAAATTTTTATGGTTTGGCAAATCTTGCCTATTTTCATGGAGAGTATAAATCTGTTTTCCACTGTGAGAGAAAAACTTGAGTATGAGAAAATAACCCCAAAGGATTGAAATATCCGGAAAAAAATAGCATCATATAGCCTCACAAAACCTGAAGAACAATCCCTCTCATATAATCTGAGAGTTACATCATTAATACTCTAATTTTATCTTTAGTACCTGATCCCTATTTACAGAACTATGTAAATTATATGTAACCTTTAATTTCTTGGTGTACAAGAATTTTCTAGTCAGGATGCTTAGAATTCCCTGAATAGGATTTCTAAACTACTATACCAAGTTATGGACTTTGAAAAAGAAATAGGCCCCCAGATTGCCAAGTAGGTGGATTCCTAACAACTACAGGAGTTACATATTAAGGTGGAATCCTTACAAATCACCCTCTCAACCTGGTGGTAAAACAAGTCTTCACGTACTAAAGTACTTGCACCCCCTCAATGAGAATGCCAGCAAACTGGTATCAGCTGTACACAATCTAAATCAGCAAATTTCTTGGTCCATTTGATTCAAAACACTTTGGCGAATGAGACAATGATTTATGCTATCTGTAATCTCCCTTCATTCTTCCTGTCAAGGAAATGATCCTCCTCGATGAATCTGCAATTCTTCACCCTTCATGGTCCAAGGATGAAATCATCCCTCGTTCAATAAATTTGTCTAAAACAGTCCACATGCACAGTCACTATGTGCACAACCTTGAACCTTGATCAGGACTGAATCTAAATCTGGAATCTGGGCCAGCTAATCAGAAATTGCAATCTAGGCCAAATCTGAACAACTCTAGTACCATTTGTGTTTTGGAAAAGATGCATACCAAGATTCAATTTACAAAGGCATAAATAATTTAATGAAAATAACAAGGAAGAAAAATGATAAATGGCACACCAGATTTACGTTGTTTGACAAATCTTTGCCTAAATCCATGGAGAGTGTAAATATGCTTTCACTATGAAAATAAAATATAAGAAAATAACCCATTCAATTGAAACAACTGAAGCCCAATAGCGCTCTTACATCCACCCAGACCTCAGAGGAACTACTTTCATATTATCGAGAGTTACATCTCAACACTCCAATTTTCCCTCAAACACCTTGTCCAAATTTATAGAACTAGATGAATCCTACACAATCTTGGATTCCTTGGTCTATAAGAATTCTCCAACTAAGATTCCTAGAAATTCTCCAAACATGACTCTTACAATTCTCTCTGAAGTTATGGATTCCAATAGAC